TGGGTACATGTGTCATAGGATGGCAGCATACACAGCCAGCGCACATGCGCAAGTGCTACGGCTTGGGCCTCTCTAGCTCAGCAAGACAACAACGAATGCAACGCTTACACCAAAGCCTTAACCCTACAGGTCGAGTATGATGCTGATCTGAACAGCCCAGGTTAGAAGAAATCCGGCCGGCATGACTTTCGTCGACGAGACGGCGCTTTTGGTAAGCCTTCAGCAGCAGTGGCATTGCACCGTGGGAAGAATACCTGGCGCATCTGTTGTCAGCAATTAAATCATGTGATGATTGGAGTCGTATACCGATCTGCACAAGCTCACGTGTTTGCACTGCGTAGCTCAACTGCATGCGTCGGTCTTTTGTCACCAGCGATCACTTCAGTGAAGCCCGTGCGGAACTCTAGACCAGGCCCTCCCCAGGATGACTGTTGTGTGGCCCACGAGCACTGCCAATGGAGGTAGTTTATTTTTCAGCAAACCCAGAAGCTTAGAGCCCAGCAAGCCCAAAGTTCGGAAGCCGAAGCCGGCAAGACATAGTCTAAAGTTACAAACCTGCAGGGGTTAATATCTCGAAGCATAACCTCGGCACCTTAATGCCTATATTCCCCTACTACTAAGTTGAAGCCGTTGCAATAACTCCGAAATAAACCTGAGGCCAAAGGCACCAAGTGTTTGGGTCTTCACGGTATGGGTTTTTGGTTTTTGGGCTTATACACCTCGGGGACACAGGCACACACGCGCACACACACACACACAAATAAAACCCTAAGCACAGAAAGCACAAGGTCCCTGTGCTTTTGAAGCGAACCCTTCTCGATTTGTAAACTCAAAGCATTAACCGGAATCATTACAGGCATTGGCGCCCCAACGTGTGCCACACATGCATCACGGTCAACTATCACGGGTTCTCCTTCTAGGAAGCGAAAGCTCGCAGGCACATCGATAAAGCAAAACTTCCAACTCAGGTGATCTCTCTCACCCAAAAGAGCGCTCGAGCTGCATGTGCAACGAGGAGCCTCTGACGGGGGCAGCTTGAGAGAGAGTAAGATTTGCTTGCGTTTTGCCCGAGAACAATACCCGATTCGTTTTCTAGATAGTCTAGTCTTGCTGACAATGCACTGGGTCTGCGTGGGTCTGTGGTTCAGGGCTTTGGGAATTTTGGAATGCCTACGATTAGCTCCCCTGTCCAGCCTTAGTCTGCTTCTGTATTGAGAAACTCCTCCGCGAGATGACATGCGGATGCTTTGAAGCGGCCGTCGGTGCCAAGGGTCAGGTCGTTGCGCGCGAACTTCCAGAAAATATCCTGCAGTGGCAGTTGCCGTAGCCAAGTAGCAACGGCACGTAGTTATAGTAGTAGCCATAGCCGAAGCAGTAGCAGTAGCACTAGCAGCAGTCCTCCATCTTCGTCGGGCTCCGCACGTTGTCGCGAATGATCCTGTTAAAAGCAAACCGCAGGTCCTCCCAGATCATCCTGCTCGGATTCTTTGTCGGAGCGAATCGCTTTGCGAAGGTGCTCCTCTCAGTCCCTTCATCCTGCGTGTCAGTGGCCCTCTTGCTACGTTTTTTCGGTGGCTCAGCGCCGTCGCTCTTGGCGTTGGCTTTGGGTGCTGGTGCGTCCTTTCCCAGAACCTTTCCTCTGCCCCTGCCACCGCGGCCCCGGCCGCGGCCGCGGCCCCTGCTCTCAGGTTTCTCCTCTCGCTCCCTCGTGGTCTCCTCATCCTTTTGGCTTTCATGACTCGCCTCATCTCCTTCCTGATCCTTTGCGTTCCCTTTTTTGTTCGTTGTTGTTGCTGCCTTACCTTTTGCTTTGGCCTTCGCCTTTGCCTTGCCTTTCGGGCTTGCCTTCGCTTTGGCCTTAGCCTTAGCCTTTGCCTTTCCTTTTGCCTTTGGCTTTGTTTTGCTCCCTTCCTCCGCACTGTCCTTGAGGTCCTGCTGCTCCGTTCTTGTCACTTGTTCCTGCGCAGGGCATCAGCACACAAACAGGTCGACAAGCATCCGAACCCCAACTCATCGAATCATCCGCCTCGCAATTCAAAAGATCCTCGGTTCCAGGAGAACGACTGTGGCCGCGCTTTGGGGTTTTGCCCTTTGGCGTGTTCAGCAGGGAGGGGTTCTGTGGAGTCTCGGGTTCCACCGGCATAGCTTTTGCCCTGTGCAAAGCCGGCTTGTCTGATGGCTCAGTAGCAACCGGATTTTCAGCTTCTGGGGGGAGTGTCTGCAAAGGTGCTGGGGATGGCTCGGCTTCTGGGGCGAGTGTTTGCAGAGGTGCTGGGGATGGCTCGGCTTCTGGGGCGAGTGTTTGCAGAGGTGCTGGGGACGGCTCGGCTTCTGGGGCGAGCGTCTGCACAGGTTCTGGGGTTTCAGGCTCGGCTTTCATGGGTGTTGAAGCGATACTGATAACATCCAAGCGGTGTGTGTCGTGAGCTGCTCGGCTTGGAGTTGCAGGCGGCAGCAAAGGGGATCCTGGTAGAGTGTCAGGGGTTCTCCATGCAGGAGGTGTCGGCTGACCTGGAGGTACTAGATCAGGCGATGCAGCAGGGGTTCTCCATGCCGGTGGGGTCGGCTGACCTGGGGGTACTACATCGGGCGATCCAGCAAGCCTTCCAACCAAGGGGGAATAGTATACCGTGTTTGCAGCGGGACTGCTGACAGGTGGAGGAGGCAATACTGTAGTGAGCTCGCCCTCCCACGGCAACGTCTCCATGGTGTCCACACAGCCTGCGAGAGGGATTGCGCTCGAGGTTTTAGGTTGTCGTTTATGGTTGTTGCAACTCGAAAATTCCCTAAAGCCTGCTGCGCCACCCCATGTCATCGGTGCTCCTTGCTCTAGTAGCTCAGCTTTGCGAGCCGCAAGACGTCGCCTCTGTAGGAGCTTCGGGTTTGAGGGTGTTTAGGCCTGGGGCAGGGTTCCGGATTTCAAGTTTGGGGTTGAGTTGTTTAAGATAGTAATTAGGTTGAACAAAGAAACTGTAAACCAACGTCTTTCTGGTCCAGTCTAAGAGCTCAACCTCAGCCAGGCGAGCTTCTACATCATGCTCATCACACTCACTGGGGCGATCTGCTTCCGGTGCTGCCGCCCGGTCTACATGCTCCAGAGCTTGCACATAAGCAGGGGCAACCGGGGTATTGGGAGACAGCCCCATGCATCGCATCAAATCAAGATCCGGAACTCTGGGGCTGGCATGAACATGGTACCCATCATTAAGAAGGGGCTCAGGGCCTGCGCTGTTGCCTTTGCCTCCCTCGGCTGCGCCCGAATCCTGATCTCCCTCAGCCTCAGTCTCCTCCACTTCCTCATCCTCCTCATTTTCCTCATCCTCCGCTTCTTCTTGGGCTGCTAAAGTGCTAAAGTATCGGACGTTTGCTTTCTCTTCGGCTTCGGCGTCCAAAACTGAGCAACAAAGCCGAAGAGCTCACGAAGTTTGGGGTCCTGCTGGGGTTGTGAAGAACAACATGCTATGTCTCTGAACCTAGGCACAGCGTTCTAGACGAGAGGATGACAGCTCCTAGCACGAAGCCGGGCAGGGCTCCTTCCGCACGCATGCATCGTTGCGACGATTGATGAGGGTGATGAAAGACCTCAATGCCATGCCCTCGCAATGCACCAAGGAAGCATCCTCTTTGAGCCGCAGATCACCGCGTAGCTTGGCCACCTGGCCAGGTGACAGGAACCCGATTACATTATCTAGCCATAGAAAACAGCGGAACATACGAAACCCCACCTGCTCCTTCAAATCATCCACATAGGCTGTTTTGCCACTGGGAACTTGTGGCAAATAGATCTTGAGAAGCTCCATCATTACATCGAAGTTTCGAGATAGCGTCGGTAGTGAGACCACCCCCACTTTCGTAGGATCAGGCCAAGAAAGTAATTGGCCATGCTCCATGAATGCACGCCTCACTTTCTTGTGATTGTCCCAAGCCTCTGCTAACTTCGAGAGGTCGGGGCGCGGGGTCTCCTCATCCTCCTTTGGTTCGGCCATGGCTCCAAACACTAGCCCCTCTGAAAGACTCGAATGCCCCCTGTCCAGCTTCTTGAATCCACTAGGATGGCAACTGCATTTAAACTTTCGACAGGCCCCCTGCACTTGCTCTACATTTGACAGCTCGATCTATGTAGCAGCAAGCCATAGCAAGCAGCAGACAGTGGCAAGACTACTTGATTAGCCGAAACCAAAAGCTTCGAACAGCCACAAGACGACAAAAGGGGGCACCGAAGGAACGTGCCGCAGCCGAGGATTTGTCACCTGGGCGCCGCTGAGAGCATCACGGAAGTTAAAACCTACAAACATCTTGGATCGACTCAGCTTTCTATCAGATCTGACACACAATCCTGCAAGCAAAGCAATCCAGGGGCAAGGGCCGTAGCTGAAGTGTATTGCCAGCAGCAGCCCCACCTGCCACAAAAGGTGCGACTGCTGCGGGGATGGTAACCGTGCTTCTCAAGGGCGGCAACACAAACAGTTTCAACTTCAAAGCACTTCAACGAGCAGCCAAGCTAGCTTCGTAGTAATATTAAAAGCAGTCCCAGCAAGCTTTCGGGATAATTGGGCTGTTTCTTGCCTCACCCATGCGGTGAAAAAAGCAGCGCAGCGCCAGCGGCAAAGCCACACCTGGCCCATTGCGAAGTCAGAAACACAAAGCTGTTGCATAAGCCTATGCGCGCGACCGAATCCAGCCCAAGCTCGCGAGCACCAGATTAAATCAGCACAATCCAGGCCTTCACCCGTTGATAAAGAAAACGGAAGCGGCAGCTTGCAGCTTTGCTTCCTGCGTGGTTCCGGGGGCTCATTTGCTAAGAGGATCTATGGTTGTAGAGGCGAAACATCATGGAACATCGGGTGCATTTTTTTCCTTCGGCCTGCTGCTTCAAAGCTTCTGGCGGGCATTCAGGGTCTCAGGCTCATCGAGGCTCAACTATTGCTCAGCGATGGACGGTGCATGCTTCACCTCCGAACCTCAATGTCACATATGGTCACGTGAAGCCGCAAAACCAGCTAACCGATCACCTGATGCATTGCAGCCACAGGACAAAAGGCTTTCAAGTTGGACTTGTAGGCATCGGCAAGCGCCCGGACAAAGCCTCCAGCCTTGTAGTTGCCAACGATTACCTCCACTTGGCTCTGGGTCAAAACGTCCTGAGAAGCATTTACTCTAAGCTTATAAGTTGTAGCATCAAGTGGCTGGGGGCAGGATGATCAGCTGCCACAGTTATTGTGTCTGGAAGCTTGTGGGGTGTCATCCGGCCATAGCACCGACTGCACCTCGCGGTACCATTCCAAGGGCATCTGGTGCAGTCCTGACCAGTTAAACGATCTCCACAAATCCGAAATGCTTGAAACACTCAGGTGGACACTGTGCTAAAGGGCCTTCGGATTCGAGGATGCGGTAGGTAGCGGCAGGCAACTCTACCGGGTTTGCCATCACAGCTTCCACACTGCCAACAAGATCAACAAAGCTGGCCACTTGAGCAGAGCTTTCAGGCGAATGCGTGCAGAAACCCAGCATCACACAGCTTTGAATGCATGCTGCTGCACCCTGGGGTGGTATTCGCACCTTGCAGTCATCCGCATGGCACAAAGCACTCCATGATGGAATTCTGTCGGACGTTCGAAGCTTTTGTTATTCGTTGCGAACTAGCAGACTGTTGCCTAACAACAATTCAAATCAGGCACCGAGACAGGAGAGCCCAAAGGACTGCGAAGCATCAAGAAGCGAATCCGCCCCCAGCAAACACATTCCGCCGCCGGAAACCAAAAAACAGCCATCAATCCAGAAAGGAGTCTTTTGCCCTCGGGGGCTGAATTTTCAGCCGCCAAGAGTTTCCAGGTATATATATGTATATATATATATATATATATATATATACATATCCTATATCAAAACAAGCATCAATACAGATGCTATGTTTGTATACATATATAGGCATACATACGTACATACATGCATACACACAGAGATTCTGTGAATCTGCGAGATGTTTGTGGCTGGGGGGGGGGGGGGCAGATCCTTACCTGAAGGATGAGGAGATGTAACGCGTAAACTCCTTAAACTTTGAAATCCGAAGTTCCTTGGGCTTAGGGTTTACGGTTTAGTTTTAGTTTAGGGGTATAGGGCTTTGGGCTTTGTGTTTAGGGTTTAGCTTTGGGCTCAGGGTATAAATCCTGCATTACCTTATTAATGACCCTAGACCATGGGAATTGCGGTGCATTCCTTATTATGGGGAATGCAGGATTTTTATCATCAGCCGTAGTACATAAGCTCCGTAAAACCTTAAAATCTAACCGCCAAACCTCTAAACCCCTAAACCCTAAACCCTAAACTCTATACCCTGAATCCCAAAACCCTAAAACCCTAAACTCTAAACTCTATACCCTGAATCCCGAAACCCTAAAACCCTAAACCCTAAACTCTAAACCCTGAATCCCTAAACCCTAAACTCTAAACCCATAAAAGCCCATTGGGAGAGGAGTTCCTCCTCTCCACCCTCGACATCGACGGCTTGCTGGCAGCGGTTCGAGTTCAGATTTCGGCTTTCGTCAGGTGGTCTGCTAGACCCTAAACCCCTTAAATCCCAAACCCCTAAACCCGAGCCCTAAACCCTAAACCCTGCTACCCCCTCAAACCCTAAAGCCTAAACCCCTACACCCTACACCCCGGTTTAGAGTTTGGATTCAGCCTAGGTCCGGAGCACCTGATGATCAGGTCCACAAGGTACCGGGGCTTTTCTGGGGATGACGGTTGATGGCATAGATCCTGCACTACCCATGAAAAAGAATATCGCATAATTCCCATAGTAAACCCTGGACCCCTAAGCCCCTAAATACCCTAAACCTAAAGCCCTAAACCCTAAACCCTAAATACCCTAAACCTAAACCCCTAAACCCTTAAATCCCTAAACCCCTAAATCCCTATAGACCCTATAAGCCCTTGAATCCCTAAACCCCTAAATCCCTATAGACCCTATAAACCCTAGGTTAGAGTGTGGGTTCAGCCTAGGTCCGAAACAGCTGATTCTCAGGTTCTCTGGGTCCTGGGGGGTCTTACTGGGGCTTAGGACTGTATGGTGGGAACCCTTTAAGGGTTCCTTTGGAGGTTCCCTTAAGGGCTCCTTTAAGGGCTCCTGCAAGGGTTCCTTTAGGGGTTCCTTTAAGGGCTCCTTTAAGGGCTCCTTTATGAGTTCATTTAAGGGCTGCTTTAAGGGCTTATAGCGCGAAGAGACAACTAACCCTATTGTAGGAACCTGATTAAGAAACATTATGCCTTTGTTATATGAATCCTACCGAGGTGCAGCCCATGAAGCGAAGCTGGATGCCAGCATGCGTGAGCTCCATGATGAAACATTTCTGAAGACTTGGTGTAGGGTGTCAGGCTTTGCGGTTTGGGGGTTTGGGGGTTAAGAGGTTAAGAAGGGTTGCGGCATTCAGGGTTCAGTTCAGGAGTGTAAATGGGGTTTAGGGGTCAGGAGATATTTGCGCCGACACTGCACTGCTGCCGGAAGTGCTTTATGTGCATGATGTTCAGGGTTCGTAGGTACCTTTGTTTTTGAGTCCGTTTTTTGCCAGAAGTCCTCACCGAAGATCCTCAATTCTGGTGCCTACTTTTGGTTTCCTAGATTCCTTTTTCGTAGGACCCAGTCTGCAATAGAATCGGTTGCCAAAGACTGTACTGGAACTCAGGGTGTTTGGTAGATGCGCACACTCATTGCCCGAAGGCTCTATGCAGGGGCAGGGGACTTAGTAAGTCGTTGGTAAGCAGGGTTATAACTGGGGTAGCTCCATTTAGGGTACTTATAAGTCTACTTATATCCTCCTTACTAAGTCCCTGCCCCTCCAAGATAGACCCTAAACCCCATAGAGCCCTTTAAGGAACCCTATAGATCCCCTATACTAAGTCCCTCGGGCCCCTCCAAGTATGGAGGTTCTCAACCGTCTTCTGCGTCTGAGGAAACAGGAGCCTAAGGGTGAGCCATACCCGAAGGCGCTGAGGACTAGAATCAAAATAGTAGCTTAGATAATTGCCAACATCACTTGTTTAGGGTTCCTTACAATAACCATCATATAAAGGAGCCCAAGACCGTATTCTAATTATTGAGGCCCCCTACATTGCTTCGTTTAAGAGCCTTTTGGGCCCAAAGATCGCGCGATACAAGGCCAAGTGAAGGGCATTTTTGAGCCTCAGGGATCGTGATCGGTCAGCAAGGTTTGAACGTTGCAATTTGAAGAGTTTTCTGCTGTCACGGGTTTGCGATGGTAGCACCGCTGTTTACGATTATGTTGGTGGCGATGCTGATGATGATAGTGAGGATGCTGATGGCGATGGTGATGGCGGTGTCCCAGTACACAACTACATTGGTCAGTTGTTCCCTACTCTTAGGCTGTGTGGAGCACACTAAGCCTTCAACTTCAAACCCTGAAATCACCCCAAGAACAACGTATGGCAGCATCACAACCATATCATACAGAAGCTAGAAGGATTAGTAGCACTGTCCCATAGCAATACTTTTCTTAGTTTTGCTTACCATAATTGTAGCATAACCTATCCCGTTCTACTTGAACAATCCGTTTGAATCCTTACACCCTACAGACCCCAAACCTATACCCCAAACCTTAAACCCCTAACCCTAAACCCCGAACCCTAAACCCCAAACGAAATAAACCCCAAATCCTAAACCCCAAACGCTAAACCCCAAACGCGAAGCCCAACACCCTAAGCCCTAAACCCCAAACCCTAAACCCCAAACCCCAGACGCTATAAACCCCAAACCTTACACCCCAAGCCCGAAACCCCAAACGCTAAACCCCCAAACCCCAAACCCTTTGTTCGTTAGGTTCACGGCGGCACTGACAGCGCTGCGCCAGGGAGACAGCTCGAGAGGCCGGTGGTTGCGAAGCTTTCCTCCCCGGCTGAGGGATCGGGTTTGGGGTTTAGGGTTTAGGTTTAGGGTTTTGGGGTTCGGGGGTTTAGGGTTTAGGGTTTGGGGTTCGGGGGTTTAGGGTTTGGGGGGTTTTGGGGTTTAGGGTTTAGGGTTTCAGGGGTTTAGGGTTCGGCTCCGAAGCCGACCCTTCTGGAGGGATCAGGTTTGGGGTTTAGGGTTTAGGGTCTAATGTAGGAACCTGATTAAGATTAAACCTTGGGCCTGTATTTTATTTGGGCTCCTTCTTTGAATCCTACTACTTTGGGGTTCTAGGCCCAGGGTTTCTTATTCAGGTTCCTACGCTAGGGTTTAGGATTTAGGGGCTACTGGGAGGATCCGGTGGACTTCGGAAGCAACGTTAGAAGTACTCCAAATGTGATTGCAAGCCCGGGATGTTGGGCTGTAATTAAGGTCTTTAATTGAGCTGGGGAGCCGAATAAACACATGTATAAGCCAAAGTGATAGAGGTCTTCTCAGCGAAGTTAGGGCGCTGATAGCCCCAAAACCTGGACCCCAAAAGTATGTAGAATAATTGCCTTTATAGGTTTCGGGCCATTAGTTTACGTACTTCAAACCTTAAACCCTAAACCTAAACCTTAATCCTAAATTTCCTAAGGAGTGTCCGATATGAGCCCTGGGTTCTCAAACTGCTGAAACCTGGAACCACCCAGACCTTCCAAAATCCCGTAATTAAGGAATATACCTTAATTCATATTAGGGATCCTATTTTTTTTAAGGTATATTCCTTAATTAAGGGATTTTGGAAGGTCTGGGCATCTCAAGCCTCGAGGACCCAATGACCCTCAAACGCAAGGGACCTCGAGACACTCATAGGACGAATGGGCTCCTTTTAAGGGATCTATAGGGGTACCTTTAAGGGCTTCCTTTAAGGGATCTATAGGGGTACCTTTAAGGGCTTCCTTTAAGGGATCTATAGGGCTTCAGGGTTTAAGGATATAAATCCTGCATGACCTTAATTAAGGGCCCTGAACTATGGGAATTATGGCATATTCCTTATTATGGGTCATGCAGGATTTATACCATCAACCGTACGACGACTTCTGGTATGGGATCCTCAAGCGCTTTTAGGGTACATGTCGTCCTTGAGGCACCTGTGGATCCAAAAAAACCTACAGTTGTTTGGGTTCTGGCTTCTTTTTGAGGGGTCATAACCTACTATTTTGTAGGGTTTGGGGTCACAGGAACCCTAAAGGGACCCTCATTGCTCGAAAAGTTGGCTTGCGCCACTTGGAGGGTCGGGGGACTTAGTAAGTAGGTAGTAAGTAGACTTATAAGTACCCTAAAAGGGACCCTAATTGGGGTTATGGTACTTATAAGCCCCCAAAATAAGCAGTTACTAAGTCCCCCCCATAGATCCCTTTAAGGAACCCCATAGATCCCTTTAAGGAACCCTATAGATCCCTTTAAGGAACCCTATAGATCCCTTTAAGGAACCCCTATAGATCCCTTTAAGGAACCCTAAGTCCCCCTAAACCCTAAACCCTAA